ATTATAACTAATTAAGATAATTATTTGTCAATATTAACAAATAATTACAATTAATTATAATTACTATAAACTAATTATAATAAATTAAAACTAATTAACAATAAATAATAATAATAATAATAATAACATAAAAATAAAAAAAAAATAAAAAAAGAGCCCAAAGGGCTGCTCGGCAATGGGATTCGGCCGAAGAAGTGAGCTAAAGGGAGAAAGTTACATTCACAGCCAGCGAGCTCCCTTTGTCACTTCCGATCAAAACAGGAAGGGAAAGTCGCAGATGGAGCGAAGTCGGAGGGCCAGGGGGGAAGGGAGATCCAGCAAGAGGCGGAGCTCAGGGCGGCTTTGGCTTCGGCAAGGTAGGCAAGTCCTTCTCTCTCTCTCTCTCTCTCTCTCTCTCTCTCTCTCTCTCTCTCTCTCTCTCTCTCTCTCTCTCCCTCTCCCTCTCTCTCTGTGAGTCGAACTGATCGGAAGCAGCGATGGGATAGGGCAGGGAGTCGTTCGTGTGGAGTCGGAGGAGAGGTCGGTCGGGAGAGGGAGTGTCGGTCGAGCATGGAGAGGGAGGATCGGAAGCAGCGACGGGCTTCGTATATGGAGAGAAACGAGAGTGTCGTGGGAGAGAGCAGATTTTCGAATGGAAGAACCGTCCCAAAGGCCTCGGCTGGCTTGGTATTTAACGACATTTGTGGTTGTTTGATCGAGGCGAGTGCGGGAATAGCGGAGAAGTGACTGAGCGGCGTCGAATGCACAGGATTTCCGGAGAGCCTCGGCGGGATTTCTTGCCGAATTTTGGGAGGGATTACGGGATTTTGCAGAGACAGGTATGATTTCATTTTTGTTTCCTTTAGACATTATACGAAGGTCAACAGTATTCTGCTTACTGTCCAATATTTTAGACAAATCATTTGATGACTGTAAGCTTTTGCATACTTACAACCCTCTCATTCAAGGTGGGATTCGAATTTTCAACTTTTTACTGTCCATTTTTTTTCTTTCTTTAGGTATTTTTCACATTTTTTCCATCCAAGACCGCACCAGTCTTTTTTTTCTCCCCACCGGTGCCTCCGCTTGTTCCTGGCTCTCACCACTATTTCCCTCTCTTCTACCTCTCTATTCTCCAGTCTAGATAAATTTGTATTGAAATTAATTTAAATGAGCATGACAATAAGTTTTTTCATTATTATAAATTTATCTTCTTATAAGAACTATAATAAAAAAAACTACAATGTCAATTTCAAGCTCGAATGAAAAGCTTGAGGGTATTTTTAAAATCATAAATTTGTGCCCCCACAGATAAAAAATCTTGGCTCCACCAATGATGCTGGCCATCTGTTTTGGGAGTTTTACTTATCTACTAGGCGATTAGTTTTGATGCCACAATCGTTTGCATGTGCATAATAAACTTTTCTCATCTAATGATGGTATTTGATTATATGAGCATGCTTACAGCTATGAAATGACTCAGATTCACACTTGTTTGTGAATATTTTTAATAGTTTGTGTTCTTTTCTTATATGTTTCTTGAATCTATTCATATCTTTATTGAATACAGAGCGAGAAACAAGTTGTGGCTCTTCTATCGAGATTGGATATACAAAATGTTCATTTCATGGAATCTCCTCCAGGTGCTTAATTTTATGTGTTCTTCTTTGGTATTTCTCTATTGAGACTATTTTTTGACATATAGTGTTGATGTTTATGTCCATTCTTGACACTACTTTCAGATTGTGCAAAGCATTCAGTGCACCTAGTGGTTGGGGATGGTTTGGAAACTTATCTTCCTCTTGCAGATATGGTGGACGTGTCTGTTGAAACTCAGCGCCTTATTAAGCGCCTTTCCAAAATGCAAGCAGAATATGATGATCTCCTTGCTCGCCTTAGTTCTCCAAGCGTAACTTTCTTCCCCTAAAACTTTCATCCTTATACTTTTATATTTTATAAGAGTCATAACCATTTCGTTAGATAAGCTTCATTAGCATATTTGCTTATTTTTCTCTTTATAGCTTTTCATTCATTTTCTTAGCATAATAAATCATCTCCTTACTTCATGGAGTGAAATTAATGGATTCTCCAATATTTACATGACTTCTTGTATCCTATATTCTATTACTCTCCAATAGTAGATTTATGTTTTATATCTAAATATCGCTATTCTCTTTTTTATAATCTTCAATTTTTAATATTTTCTTAACAAACTTCTATAATATCTCTCTCAACTCTCAATTTATAAATCAATGTCTATTGTGAACCTTAAGCCTTAAGTTTGTGCATTTTCATTGAAACTAATAAAATTGAAACGGAGGGAAAAAAGAGGAATCATAAAGCCAAACCCAAATAGTTGGGAAAAGGCTTATGATAGTGATGAGTGCTCAACCTTATTTTGTTGAAATATTGTATGCTATACTTCATGATTATGTTCAACCTTATTTTTTAAAAGATATCTTTCTTGAAATTCTTAATAATTTCTTGAAGTAGCATTTTTTATTTTTTCTTAATAATTATCTCCCTCTATATTTATGTTCTTTTCTTCATCTAATGTTTGGAATGACATACCAATAGGTCTAGGAGTTAGAATTAGTCGACAGAGTAAAAGTGGAATGTATCGCTCTTTGGTAATGTAGCTAGTGGATCTAGGATTCTTTTATTGAAAGAGGGATTTGTAGAAAATGTTTTTAAAATTTTTAGAGGATAAATTCATACAAAATTTATTGTAGTGCATTCTATTAGATTATATAAAAATATTTTTTATGATGTTTTATTATACTACAAAAGATTATATAAGTTGTATGCAAAAATTGTTTAGTTTCAATTGAATTGGCTCCTAAAACTAGATATTAAAGTAGACATAGACGAACATAATTGTGACAACCCACCATTAAATAAGGCATATAATATAGATGTATATGCATGTTTACTCTTTACAAATCTCAATTACACCCACATTAAATAAAGAAGCATAAAAAAAAAACCCTCACAAAGAAATTTTTCTCACATGCACTTGGAAACCCTAGTGCATCTAAGCCTTCAATCTTCCAAGAAGCCCTAATTGCTGAGGCACAAAAACAAATGAAGGATCCAGGAAGAAGATGAAACCAAGAGAGATCAAAAGATCCCAAATCATAGGAAAGATATTATATTGTATAGAGTTGTCAACCTCCCCCATTCCATGCAAATTGAGGTACCAATCCCAAAGATGAAAGGTCCTTTCATGCCACATCCAAGGCATCCATATAAGGTATAACTCGAATCAATAAGGTGAGTCGGTGACATAATAATTTGTGGATTTTGATGTAAAATTTCATTTGTTAGATCCTAATAAATTATTTGGAGTATATCATAGATTCTGCTCAATATTTATTTAGATCTGTTGTAGCAAATATCATAAAAAGCATCAATCTTTTTTTAGTTTATTTTAACATAATAATTTACCTAAAAACGATTAGCCATGCCAAACTTTACTCAGGTTATTAGCAATGTAGATTGAATTTGAAAACTTGAACTTGCCTGGCTATATTCCTAGTGTCGATCCTTATGATACTAATTTATTATGGTGCAGTTTATACATAAGGCGCCTGAGGAGATTGTTCGTGGAGTTAGAGAAAAAGTAAGCGAAGCTATGGAGAAGATAACTCTCACAAAAAGCCGGCTGGCCCTGCTTGAATCATCAATTCCTCAGTCAAGATGATTCCTTCTGCACGTTGTGGTATAAATTTTTGTTCCATCGATTTTTTTAATATTTGATTTCCGAGCTAGTGAGCTCAGCACTTGAAGAATACAGAGTGTCGCTAATGCTTTATTGATTATAGTTCATTGATGTTATCTTGAGATTCTATGGATCATGAGAAGGCCGGTGAGTTGCATGAAGCTTTAAAAACATAACTCAAAGTGAGAGATTCTAAGTTCCTTGGAGAGATTATGTGAGAGATTTTGATGTAATAGAATTTTGACTAATGGTTTGATATTTGATATACTTATACTCGATCAATGGCCCGTTATTTATATTGCTACCCTATTTACAGATGAAGATGAAGATCAAGATTAGTATTACAAAATTATTTTTGCATGATATGGTTACATAATTATTGCATATAGCTAAATGTCTATTAATCAGCAACATCATGCAAATTCTAGATTGAGATTTAGGCTTCGTTTGGAATAGCTTTCTTCCTATTTTTTAAAGCAGTTTTTCAGTACAATTTACGACTTGTTCCAAACATTTGTAAGTGTTCTTCTAGTGAGATTCTCTAGTCAACTAGTGGAATTTTTATTAGGTCCGATGTCCTGACATAGCTCTACATTTGGACTCTAGTAAAATGGTGTCACGTGCTCTTACTTTTTACTGCGCGGCCCGATGATCGGACCAGGACCAGACCTGGGATTGATATGTATTGGTTGATTTATGCAGACCGGGGTATTGCTAGGTATTGCTCGATATTGTTCGGCAATAATGAGAAATACTGCTCTGTGAAGATCAATACCTAGCAATATCGAGCTAAACCCCGATTTTGTTAAGTATTGCTCGGTATTGGTCTTCACAGAACAGTATTTTTCATTATTGACAAGCAAAACCTAGCAATACCGAGCAATACCTAGCAATATCGAGCAATACATAGCAATACGCGAACATAACAATCCCCGGTTCCAGTCCGGGTCGGGTCGTCGGGCCGTGCGGTAAAGCGTAAGAGCACGTGGCAACATGTTATTGGAGTCGGAACTGTGGGCTCCGAAAATTCGGCCCCGGCCTCCGCTCGCTGTTTCTTATTCGGCGAGGGAGTTTTAACGAACTAAGTTCCGAGGTAAATTTTGGAAGGCAGATGGGTTTGTAGATAAGACATTACCCAGAGATTTCGCCCTCATTTTGTGAGGACTTTATGATCTGAGTTCTGGTTTCCTATAGGCGCAAGCCCCTATAGTTAATTATGTTGCTTTCCGTCAGCTTGTTATGGACCTCTTTGAGCATGTTGGAGAATTGTTCTGCGCTTTTAATGGCCGCCGAGCTTTTGCATTTGGGTAGAACTGCAAGGTCCACAATATGGTTTGGCATTTTTGTATAGACAATACTAAAGGGGCACTGACCTGTTGACCGATTTGGCATTGAATTGAAGGCGAACTCCGCTTGACCGAGGACCTCTTCCCACGCCTTGGGATGATTCTGCACTAAGCACCGCAGCATGTTACCCAGAGTCCGATTGACGACTTCGGTTTGTCCATCCGTTTGAGGATGGTAAGCGGAACTGAGTTTCAAATCAGTGTGGAGCATCTTCCATAACTCTCGCCAGAAGTGGCTGACGAACTTAACATCGCGATCGGATGTAAGGCTGCGGGGAATCCCGTGTAGACGGACGATTTCTTTGAAAAATAACTTCGCAATGCCTAATGCGTCGAAGGTTTTCTTGCACGGAATGAAGTGCGCCATCTTTGAAAACCTGTCGACAACAACAAGAATGGAATCGGAGCCACGCTTTGTTCTCGGCAAGCCTAAAACGAAGTCTAGGCTCAAATCTTCCCATATTGAATCCGGGACAGGCAGCGGAGAATAAAGCCCAGCATTCTGAGAAGTTCCCTTATACTGTTGACAGACGGCACATCTCTCAACAAATCTCGTGACATCCCGTCTCATGTGCGGCCAAAAGAAACGGCCTTGGAGCTGTTGTAACGTCTTGTCTCTTCCAACGTGTGCCGCCAAACCTCCACAATGAATTTCTTTGATAAGTTGTTGGCGCCAAGATGAAGCCGGAATACACAGACAGTTCCCTTTAAATAAAAAACCATGCCGCAAAGTGTAGTCAGTGGAAGGCTTGCCGAAACAACATTCTTCCCAGGCGGAAGCAAAGTCCGGATCGTCACTGTACATGGTTTGCATCTCTTGTAGCCCAGTGATTTCCGTTTGAAGCTGCGTAAGTAAAGCTGCTCGACGGCTTAAGGCGTCTGCCACACGATTCATCTTGCCCATTTTGTAACGGACTACAAAGCTAAATCGCTGAAGAAAAATTACCCACCTCGCGTGCATTTTATTGACAGTCTTCTGGCTGTTTAAGTATTGCAACGATTGATGATCGCTGCATAGCACGAAATCTTGGTGGAGAAGGTAGTGCTCCCAATGCTTCAATGCCCTCACAACGGCATATAATTCTTGTTCATACACAGTCCATTTTTGGCGCGGCGGACTGAGTTTCTCACTGAAATATTCGATGGGTCGATCTTCCTGGTACAATACAGCGCCTATGCCCACTCCGGACGCGTCGGTATCCACCTGGAATGGTTTTTCAAAGCTGGGCAGAGCCAAAACCGGCGCATGGCTGAGAGCTGCCTTAATGTTATCGAAGCTAGCTTGTTGAGACTCTGACCAGAAAAAAGTTGAACCTTTCAGCACATCCGTGATGGGAGCCATAATAACGCTGAACCCTCTAATGAATCGACGGTAGAAGTTCGCTAAGCCATGAAAACTTCGAATTTCAGTTACTGTGCGGGGTGTGGGCCAATCTCGAACAGCGGCCACTTTCTTCGGATCCGCCTGAATACCTTCGTGGGACACAATAAACCCCAAGAAATAAACCGAATGGGTTGCAAATTCACATTTTGAGAGATTCAGGTATAGCCTATGATCACGCAGGGCCTGAAATACAAGTGTAAGATGCTGAATGTGTTCTTCTAATGAAGAACTATAGACCAGTATATCATCAAAATAGGATACGCAGAATTTGCCCGCAAATGGTTTCAACACCTCCGACATCAGCCTCATAAACGTGGATGGGGCGTTACATAGCCCGAATGGCATAACTCGCCACTCAAAGAGTCCTTCCCGGGTTTTAAAGGCGGTCTTCCATTCATCTCCGGGGCGAATACGGACCTGGTGATAACCACTTCGGAGGTCTAACTTGGAGAATACAGCGGCGCCTTCTAGTTTATCCAGCAGATCGGGAATCCTTGGAACAGGAAACCGGTATTTCGTTGTAATCTTATTTATGGCGCGACTGTCTATACACATCCGCCATTGCCCATCTTTCTTGGGGACTATCAACGCTGGTACTGCGCACGGGCTGAGGCTGTGCTGAATGAGTTGCCGTTTCAACAGATCATCCACAATATCTTGCAGAATAGCGTGCTCCTTAGGACTCATTCGATAGTGCGGTAAGTTGGGCAAGGAAGCTCCTGGAATCAAGTCAATTTGGTGCTGGATAGTGCGCAGTGGCGGTAGATGAGCAGGCAGCTCGGTAGGGCCAATATCAGCAAACTCAGTGAGTAGTTGCTTCACTGCTTCCGGGACGGCGTGAAGGTCCTGTTGCTTGTGATTATCGGCAGCCACTAGCGCCAAAACTGGAACATCTTCTGGACGAGATTGTAACAATATATGATCGGACACTAGATATGCCGCGGCCTTACCCTTATCGTCTTTACCAACAAAATCAACATAGTGGGGTAATAATCGCAACCGCTTACCCTTCCAATCCAGGGAGTATACATTTGACCGGCCCTCATGTGTGGCATTGGCGTCAAATTGCCAAGGACGCCCAAGAATAAGGTGGCACACATCCATTTCCAGGACATCACACGTGATTTCGCAAGCATAATGTTTTCCAATCGAAAACGTTAATTTGCAACATTCTGATACAGTTAGCTCCAATCCTCGTTTCACCCATCCAATTTTATATGGCTGATTCTTCTTAGTAGTCTTCAATTGTAGTGCTTGCACCACTGACCGGGAAATCACATTTTCTGTGCAGCCACTATCTATGAGTAAATCACAGATTTTTCCATTTATGGTGCACCTGGTCCTGAATATAGCATTTCTTTGTGACGGCAACGTATGCCTTGGCGCTAATAAAAGCTTTTCCAGAATACAAACCAATGGTTCTCCCTCGTCTCCCGGAACATCTTCAGCTTGGTCCTCATACTCGTCATCTTCCCTTCCTTCTTCTAAGCCGTCTCCTTCAAGTAACTGCAGCTGGGGACGATTGGGACACTCGTTCGATTTGTGTCCCGGTTGGAAACAGCGAAAACACTTTAAAGTTGTGGGCCGACTATAAGGATTCTCCCGTATAGGAACTTTTGGTTTGACAGGGGATTTGAGCTCGGGAATTGCAGCATTGGAATTGGATTGTGATTTAGTAGCAGGACCCGCTGTTTTGGCCACTTCAACAGCAGGCTCATGAGAGAAATGCCGGCGACTGGAATGACTCCTGGACTGTCTCTGCATTTGTGATTCTACTTTCAATGCGAAATTCACAGCCTGTGATAAGGACCACACAGCATTGAGCTCCAGCTTATCTTGTATTTGCTCTTTAAGCCCACCGATATACCTGGCTACCAGCTGGTTTTCAGTTTCCTGAAGATTGTTGCGGGCGCTGAGACGATAAAACTCCTCTGTGTACTCGTTGACGGTACGTGTCCCCTGATTACAATGCTGATACTTGAGATAGAGCATTTGCTCATAATCGGTGGGTAAGTAATGCCCACGCAACAACTATTTCATCCGTAACCAGCTGCGAATGGGTCCTCTTCCTTCTCGTCTCCGGGACTGATTGAGCTGCAGCCACCACGCACTCGCGCCCGCCTTCAGCCGACACGCCACATACTTCACTTGCTTCTCCGGGTGGATTTCCATATACTCAAAGAATGTCTCTACGGCTCGCTCCCAATCTAAATAATCTTCGATATGGAGATGACCATCAAAGAAGGGAATATCAATTTTTACCTTAAACTCACCGTGGTCTCGGCGAGGATGTCCTCCTCGTCGTCGAGGAGCCTCATAATAATAAGTCCGCTGTTCGTCTTCTGAATCCGTCCAGTCCCGAGCAATTCGCGGCTGGGGTTCTCCGTCCGATTCTGAGATGTCAGCCCCAATGTCGATCATCCTTCGTCGTGGTCTTTCGAAATTGCCTCCCGTCATAGTCGCCCGGAGCGGAACACGCCCAGGCACTGTAGGATCCCCTGTGGTTTTAAGAGCAGCTAGTTCAGTCCTCATCTCCATAGAGAGGCGAAATAACTCTGCTCTGATTTCTTCCAAGCTGCGTGTGAAGCTCGCCTGAGCTGCCCACAACGCTTCAATACTCCGATCATCCTCGGCGGGTCGTCGCGAGCTTCCCTCGGCCATATCCCAGATAGGCTCTGATACCAATTATGGTGTAGCCGTCGTCTGCCCTGCAGCTGCACAAAGAACTACACCAAGATTAATTTTGCTTTAAAAAATATTATTATTTTAATTTTATTTATAACCTTAACTATATTTGATATTTGTCACATAAAATAAACCATGAAGCTATTGAGTTTTATAAAGGGCATTATTGAGCTTACTCTCACTGTAGTGATACCCATGACCTTTATGGGCTTTGTGGCCTCTACTAGGATGTGACAAAATCGGCCATATCATCGATCACGTACATGTTAACATTTTGCCCTACCTTAAAATAGACGAATTAAGTGTTCGACAAGTTTTTTGTGGCTCGGCTTGATCATTGCTCATTCGTTAATATTTGATTAAATAATTTAAAAAATTTAAAGTTTTTTTTTAATATTTGGTGATTAAATAAATAAACTTGAGCAATTATGCATTTAACTCGTTTATGTTTACGAACAATTTCATTTGAAACTCATGAACACGCTCTATAAGAGCTCATTAAAATGCTCGTTGACAAACTCAATTCTTATTCGATACAAAACTTGTGAGAAACTCATTTAATATTATATATAAATATTGATTAATCTTCATTATAGATAGAGTTTATTCATGATCAAAATATATTTGTTACTGTTTGATAAACTATTTGATTTAAGGGTTCATTAAAAATTTCTTTTATTAAAAGTATCATTTATGAGCTTGAAAATCTATTCATTTATAGGTTGGAAAAAGCCCGATAAGCTTGCTTTTTTATGGGCTCAAAAAAGTTTGATAAATATGTTCATTAATGGGTTCGATATAAATATGCCTTACTAATCTCGATAACATTCGTTTGTTAAGCTAATCTTCATCTCGATAAGGCACATTGGTTAATAGCTTTATAAGGCTTGTTTGTTAATTTAAACAAGCTGTTCATTTAAAGCTCGATAAGCACTAAACAACCGGAACATGAACTGAACATAAACATATGTCATTTTAAATGAAACAAGCTTAAACACAAATGTAAAAGCTCAAATCGAGCTCCAAAAAGCTATTAATCAACGAGCTCAAGTATATATGTTCACATCACCTAGGCGCTTTTTCTGTTTTAACCAATCATCCCATATTAAACAACCTAAGATCCAAACAATGATGGGTAAACAAATAGTCATTCCACAGATAAGATAAAGCCAACCAGCTGCATTGTGAAACCACAACAACATAAATACCCGTGGAGAACGCCACCAGCATCCCTCCTAGTGCAACATGCAAGAACCTCATGGCAATAATGATGACACCCATTCTTAGGTCACGCTCTTGAGAGCTATTGTAATCTGGAGAGCTACTGTAAATTAGCAAGAAGATGACAAACATAGAGCTTATCATTGCAATGGTATCGGAGAGGAAAACCTTGAAAGCTGGTTTCTTAGCTAGAATTGCCATGCCTTGTTTGTGGTTACTGTCATCGCTGTTGTAACCTCCAGGCAAGGTGAAAGCAGCTGCAAATGTAACTGTTGCAATGAGTACTGCCACTAATCCCAAGTTATTTATGATTGCTCTATGTCTGTCAAGCTCTTCTTCTGAACAACCTTGATCCTTAGACATCATGATGTCCATTCGACGAAGGTCAAACTTGGTGCCTGCAGATCTCAATGCTTTGATCATCTTCTTCTACAAATGGACATTTAAAACAGTTTCATTATAAGGAGTTTGAGTTGTTGCTAAAGGCTTCAGCTTCATTTGCTTAAAATAATTACTTAAATTCATTTGTTGATATGAAGTCATACGTACCCTCCTGAAGCCAAATTTGGAGGCATCAGTTGATAAAACTACATCAAGTGGAGTGAGATCCTCACAGTTTATAACATTTTTATTGACTCTACTATTTGACAGCAAAAGATGGACGATTTCAATGTTGTGGTTCATTGCAGCCAAATGCAATGGTGTGTTTCCCTCATGATTTGTCTCATTTATACTATGTATGAACAGAGGGTTACTAAGAACAAGTTCCACCACCGCTGTCGCTCCCTTCTTTGCGCAACATGCAATGAAAGTGTTGCCATCACCATCATGAGCTCAGTGCATCAGGGGCAATAATGGCAAAGTATCTCCCTAATAACTTCTGTATAGTCCTTGCTTGCTGCTATATGGATAGCCGAGGCCGTTATCGTCCAAGAGAATGAGCTACTGTAGCGTTTGCTTGTAGTAGAAGAGCACCATGTCACATCTCTAAGGGCCGCATAGTGAATGGGGCTGCTTCTGGGAGGCATCCACCTGTTGGTTTAGTGCCGGTTCTCTTTCAATAGCATCCTTGCAATATCTGAAGACCGACCTTACAAGATGTTAGCTACCTACGGCATACAAAAAAGTTAAATCTTTTGCTTTTAGTATTTTCTTGGACATCTCCGCAATATCTGAAGACCTAGAAATGTGGAGAGCTTCTTATATAAACTTATATTAGTAGTACAAAATAAATGATAAAAATTTTGATTTTTTTAAGTCCTGACATTTCGCATTACTTCAGAATTATTTCATAGTTACCATCTAAATGTTTTTTTATTTATTACGCATTTCAAGTCATTTATGTTAGTACTATTTGGCTTAGGCTTCGTTTGGGATGACTTTCTTACTGGTTCTTAAAGCAGTTTTTTTAGTTAAAAATTTAATTTTTAACTAAAAAAGCTGCTTTAAGAAGCAGTAAGAAAGCCGTCCCAAATGAAGCCTTAGTCATCAACTGTCAGAGTTAAAAAAAGTTCTAGTGCAGGCACATATTAGATTTTTAAAATATTTTTTTAATTTTTTTTTCATTCATGTTTGTGATAGTAATTATTTTCATATAAAAAAATTGTTATAAGGGAATGAGTAAAAAAATAAATGTGATTAATTATATTTCTTTTTAAATAAATTGGACTGTTGATTGAGAATTTAGACTATCAATTAAAAGATCTTGAATTTGAAGAGTCTGTCTAAATATTTAAAAAAAAAAAACAGAGGATTTCGTGGCGGTTACCATAGCTTCGGCGGATGGCAGCATGCAGAGCAATTTGCCGTCGAGGTCTACTATAAAAATAACCCATCGCGCCTCGAAACATTTCCCCGACATTCAGTGGGTCCATTGGTGCGTCACTTGTCACTGCTTCTGCTACTAGACGAAGCAGCAACTCTCCATCTCGGTTAAAACGATTGTTAAAATAGTGACTTGGTTTTGATCCTACAAATATTGTTAAAAAATATTTAATTAAAAAATCTTTTGATCTTTTTTAGAAATGGGAAATTCATGGCGGTTACCATAGCTTCCGCAGACGGCAGCATGCAGAGCAGTTTGCCCTCGAGGTCCTCCATATTCCACCATCGCGCATTCAAGCAACATTTCCACAATCTCCACAGAGCCCCTCACCACCGCTAGATAAAGCGGCGATTCTCCATATTCGTTAATAATCGAGGCCATATTCTCTCCAACAGCTAAAAGCCACCGGACAGCGTTGACATGGCCGCAACGTGCAGCTTCGTGCAGAGCGCTATCCCCGCGCCGGTTCAGCGCTCCTGTCATTTGCCTTCCTGCTTGATGATCGATCAGCAATGATAGGATGTGGTCGTGCCCTGCACGGGCGGCGAGGTGGATGATCGTTTCGCCTTTTAAGTTCTGGTGCATTAGGAGGTCCAATTCGGAGTTATTGCAAGCCTCGGTGATGAGCCAGTCGTTGCCGAGGTTTGCGGCGATATGGAGGATGCTGTTTCCTTTAATGGTCATGCCGTAGAGTCGTATTCGATCTTCATCGAGCAGCCTACGGACGCTGTCCATGTTACCGGCTATCACGGCCGAGAGGAAGCTTGGGTCCATTCTCGTGGCCATGCATATCGTGGGGGGAGAGGATGAACCGATGAGTGCTTTATAGCTTTGCAGTCTTACCTGTGCAGGAAGGCTCGAACAAAGGTTAGATGGGTTTCTTAAGTAAGGAATACCCGATTTCGCTTTCACGGTTTCAATAGAATCGGTACAGACCCCCTATTTTTTATATTATAATTAATGAGTACTTGACCGTAGAATTAAGATTAATTAAGAGGATTATTACTGAGTATATATGTATTTCCTAATTAATACACTGCTTTCTTAGTTAGATTAATTAAATCATCCTAGTTAAACTACTTATATTATCATTCTAATTAAATTAATTAAATCAGATTTCTAAAATTAATATATGAGGTCTAATTAGGTTTGCCAAGTTTTTCATCGAACCAAGCTATGAAAATTTTATTTATTAAAAAAAATAAAAGTAATTTTACCCTTTTTAATATTATAAAAAATTTACTAATAAGAGTAAACTAAACTTGAAAATATAATATAATAAAGAGAAAGAGAAGCATTGGGTGGATTTTATAGGATTGTTAGAATCTATAAGACTTGAGTAAATAATAATTGACTTTATTCTATATTTATATAAGCTTGAGTCAAATTAGAATGATGTATAAATAGAGTATATTGTTCGTAGTGAGTAAAGTTGTACAAAAAATCTTAATCAAATTGGGTATTCCGATTTTGGATGCTATTTTAGATATACCTTCGGAGTTCCAAAAGATCAAAGATAAGTTATGAATCCTTATCCAAATTGGAATAGATGTAAAATTTTCTTTAGTATGATGAAATTTTTTTGACCATTTTTGAAAGATAAACGGTTTACTATGAAAGAACCAAGCGCCTTTAGACCAAACAATGTCATAATCTTCCACAGAAGAAAACTTGAAAAGGAAAAAACCATCGGTGAGAGTTATGCGCTGAAATGTACCTTTGAGTTTCCATATCTTCTTAGCGGTAGCAAGAAGAGCATCATAATACGAGCGCTTACCGATGGAGCATCCGACAAGGTAGAGGCTCCATTCCGAAGAAGCAACATCAATGTAGTCCTTGTTGAAGGGGGCGACCTCTTCAGGAGTCTCTAAGGCGTGGGGAGCAGCAGAGGACGCAAATGAAGATGGGTTAGAAAGCGGAGGGAAGTGGTGTGTGGAGAGGGGCTCCATGGTGCCACCGGCGAAGGCCGGCGTCATGCCAAACAAAAGTGGCGTCTAGGGCGAAAAAAAATGGGAGGGGGCTGGGTTTATCATGGTAGCCTTACTGAGTTGATTTTCATGACTTCGACAATAATAGGACAACATTTTATAATAAACATAAAATAAGAATTATTCAAGTGAACATAAAAGCTAGTTTTTTTTAAGTAATATTAAGAATTTTTATAAAATTTTCAAAGGTTGTCTTAAATTATACTACAAATTAATATTAACTTTATTATTATTATATCATTAAATTTCTAAATACTATTGATATGTTACTTTAGTGTATTAGTTATTATTAAATGTCACCTTAATTCTACTTCCCGAGTTTTGATGCTTATGATCCGATTCTCCTAAGGCATGTGCCTCGCCTTGATTCTCAATTTTGTCTTTGTAAACATCGGTTAAGATGTATAAAAAAAACCACCCTTACACGACAGAAAAAAAAAAGGCTTCGGCAACACTTAAAACTAGCTTTAGCGGCAATTTTCACTGAAAAATATCTTGATCGAAGCTGCTATTCAAGCAAGCTAGGGTATGGGAGGAGGGCCAACATCAATATCATAGCGGCAGAAGAAGAGAGGTTGGTCGGAGAAATTCCTTTGTGCTAGCTTGGCGTGGAGGTGGAGGTCGTGGAAGACTGATCAGGCGCATGTGGGAAGGCCTCGAGGGTGCAGGAAGTAGCTAGGGCATGAAGGGATTAGGGATATTAGAAATAGAGCGATTAATGAATAAAACGCTTATAGAAGTAGCGTCTGAAACCTCTTCAATAAATTATTTTTGCCATTTTTTTAAAATGTTGCTACTGACTGCTGTGAACAACGTCACTTTTTACTAGTGTTATTTAGAACATATATTGTTTGAAGAATGTTGAGCTCCCCTCTACCAATTGGAATGATACTACTTTAATTTTCATTCGTTCTTTTCTACATCTTGAAGTTTGAAACAAAATACCAGTAGGGCAAGAAATTAGAATTAGTCTAATGAGCAAAAGGGGAAGGGATTGTTCTTTGATAATGTAGCTAGTGGATTTAGGATTCTTGTATTGAAAGAGGGATTAATAGAAACTGCTTTTGAAATTTTTGGAGAATAAATTTATACAAAATTTATCTGTAGTCTATCCTATAATATTACATAAAATTTATTTTTTATGGTGTTATATTGTACTACAAAACATGCTATAAATGGTATGCAAAAATTGAAAGAAAAAAAAAAAAACTTGTTTTTCTTATTAGTTGGAAGAGTGCATATACAACTACTTGTGCTTTTTTGTCCATAAATGCCTTATCTTTATCATTCATCATCATCGACCGCTCCAAACACCCCATAAATGACTTCGCAATCTTGTGCTGAAAAATAAACCCACAAATCTTAGTTCTATAAAGAGAAAAACTTTGTACATCGTCGAAGTTTTTAATGCGAACTTCATAGATCATCAAATTCACAACTTGGCTCTAATACTAAATAATTGTAATGAAAACATCAATATGATTATGAAAATATCATCATGAGCATGTATGATGTGTCATAAATAAATACAAAAGAGATCAAACGCGCATATAGTTCATTGATGTCATCTTTAGATTTTATGGATCATGGAAGACCATCAATGTAAACCAAAGATTCTAATAATATCGTGCAAACAATCACAATGAAAATAAAATCACAACACAAATATAACAAATACAGCAATTTACATGGTTATGTAAAGATGTGTGCATTCACGGAGAGGGGAATTGGATGATTTCACTTAATTTGAGAACAAGAGAATTACAATAGCCCTCAAGCTCTCTCTCTCTTACATACAACATCAATCCATTGCACTCTATTTTATAGATTTGAGGTAAAGTAAACTAAAAAAAAAAAAACTTCCAAATCTAATCCCTAATCAAATCACAATCAAATCAACAATTTAGAAAATTAATCAATTCTCTAAATAATATATTAATTGAATATCAAATCTTTTCAAAATAAATCTGTTTTGATTTTCGAAAATAATTCCAAATCAACAAATAAGACATCATGTCCATAATAATAATAATAATAATAATAATAAAAAAAAAAAGAATCATGAAAACCGAGCTTTATGCCTGCTTTTTCCTGCTCTTTTTCCCGGTTTCTGAATAAGTTCATATAGATGGAATTTAAAGTTCTGGAAGGAATAGTTCTGCCAAAATATACTATACAGGAGGTTCCCCTCATTTTCCTGAACTTTCGGGTGTGACAAAATCAACCACCATCCAATGGGGCATGTGCATGTTAACCTTGAGGATTGAAGTTTTTCTTTCTATGCTCTTTTGATTTCTGTCAATCTGCACCAGCTTAATAGAAACAAAAGTTGGCCAACAAGCTATCATACAAGCCATGAAGGGAACACAAGCAGCCATTCCACAAATAAGAACAGCCAACCATCTGCATTTTGAGACCAAAACCACATAGATTCCCATGGAGAACGCTACCACCATCCCTCCTAGTGCAACCCACATGAACTTCATGGCAGTAATGATGGAGTGCAATCTTATGTCGTGATCTAGAGAGCCAGTGCAAATTAGCAAGCAGGTAACGCTAATAGAGCTTAGCATTGAAATGGTGTCGGAGATAAGAAACACCTTGAAAGCTAATTTCTTGGCTAGAATCGCCATGCCTTGTTCCTGATTATTGCTGTCATCGTTGTTGTAACCTCCAGGCAAGGTAAAAGCAGCTGCAAATGTAACTGTTGCAACGAGTACTGCCACTATTGCCATGTTACTTGCCAGTATTCTATATCGATTAAGCTCTTCTTCTGGCCTCCGTTGATCCTTACCCATCAAGACGTCCATTCGGTGAGTGCCGAACATGGAACCAGCAGAGGTCAATTCTTCGCACATCTTCTTCTGCAAATGGATATTTAAAACAGTTCCATTATAAAGAGTTTGATTTGTCCCTAAAGGTTGCATCTTCTTTTGCTTGAAAGAATTCATTGTTGATATGAAGTTATACATACCATCCTGAGGCGAATACTACAGTCAGCACACGATGAAGCTATATCAAGGGGAGTGAGACCATTGCGGTTTATTACATTTGTGTCGACTCTGCTATTAGACAACAAAAGGTGGACGATTTCCCTATTACGGTTCATTACAGCCAAATGCAATGGCGTGTTTCCTTCATGATCTTTCTCATTTATGCTCTGTCTAAGCAGAGGGTTACTAAGGACTAGTTTCACCACTGATGTCGCTCTCGTCTTTGTAGCAACATGAAGAAAATTGTTGCCTTCCCTATCAGTGAGCTCAGTTGCATCTGGGCAATGGTGGAGTATCTCCTCGATAACATTGGCATAGTCCTTGCTTGCTGCGATGTGTATGGCTGAGAGGTCCTTGTTGTCCGAGATATGAGCTATTGTAGCGTCCGCTTGTAGCAGAAGACGCACCATGTTTACATCTCCAAGGGAAGCCGCGTAGTGAATGGGGGCGCTTAGGGAGCTATCCCTTCTTCGGTTTAGTTCCGGCATTTTGTCAAGCAACATCTTCGCAATATCTAAAGACCTTACAACAGTTAGCTACCACCACAACATACACTACGGTTTATTTAATTTTATAATTTTATCCTACTGATTTGATCCTTCAAATATTCTTAAAAAAAATTTAACTGACAAAGGTGTTGATCTTTTATAGAAATGGAAACTTCTTGACGGTTAATTACCATAGCTTCGACATACGGCAGCATGAAGAGCATTTTGCCCTCGAGGTCCTCTATAATCCACGACCGCGCACCCAAGCAACATTTGCACGGCCTCAACTGAGCCCCTCTCGGCCGCTAGATAAAGTGGCGACTCTTCATATATGTTAACCTTCGAGGCCATATTATCTCCAGCAGCTACAAGCTGCCTTACAGCATTAGCATGGCCGCCGCGTGCAGCTTCATGCAGAGCGCTATCCCTGCGCTTGTTCAACACTCCCATCAATACTTGCCCTCCAGCGTGGTGATTGATGAGCAAGGAAAGGATGTGGTCGTGCCCTGCACGGGCAGCGCAGTGGAGGATTGTGTCGCCATCTAAGTTCTGGTACAGCATGAGGTGCGTATCAAGTTGATTGAACAACTGGGTGATGAGCCAGTCGTTGCCGAGGCTTACAGCGATGTGGAGTAGGCTGTTTCCATTAATGGTCTTGCCGTGGAATCGTGTTGGGTCATCCTGGAGCAGTTCATAGAGGCGGGTCATGTCGCCTGCTCTCAGGGCCGAGAGGCAGCTTGGGTGCATTTTCGTGTCCATATGGTGGGGGGAGAGGATGAGCGACTCTTTTCTTACCATCCCATCTGCTTTATAGCATTGCAGGGGCGACCCGTGCTTTACTTCGGAGTCGAGTCTTCCAGGGGATAAGAAAGCTAGGATCGATGCATTTTCATGGTCATGTAGGGTTAAGAGCGACTGTTTTCCTACCATCCCCTGTGCTTTACAGCGTTGCAAGCCGACTTGTAGTTGAAGTACTTCGGAGTCAAGTCTTCCACTTCGGAGTCAAGTCTTCCACTTCGGAGTCAAGTAAAAAAAGTATAATAAATAAATTAATTACAAATTTTTTATTATTTATTGGTAATGCTTTCAAATTTAACATTGAAATTTTGGTGAAATTTATTTATTTATTTATTTATTTATTTTTTGAAATAGGTTATTCACCCGCTTCTGAAATGAGATTTGGTGGCGTGACTAATTTTTGACTCATCTGAAAGAGACATCCAATCCAGAAACCTTCTAACCCACACTTGATTGGCCCCAATTAAACGGGTCTATACTCTAGGGGAATTGAGTACGAGTTAGAGAATTCCTAAACGTATTCGTCCACCAACTAAACTAAGCAACGGTTGGTGTGAAATTTATTTTAAAAAATTCCTTATATATTATATGTTTAATGCATAATATTTTTATGAACTTTCCTTGAAATGCTGGGCCTGGTTTAAAAGTAATTATGATAGTTGCCTCTTAGGCTGATAATTGACTTTACTTTTTTTTAGTGGATTTTTAAATAATTTAAAATAAAATTTGCATTAGAAATAGGTAAATGTTTTTTATGTTTACAACTAAAAAAAATTCATAATAATTGGAAAAAGAAATTCATAATAATATTATGCAGTAAAACTCATTATATATTTTGTAAAATTTTAACTTGTAGTTATCGAAAATATTTAATTATTTTTAATGCATGCAATATTTGTAGGAATTCTTTGAAATAAATTTTATCAAAATTTTGATACAAAATTTGATAAAAATTCCAATACAAATATTGAAATAATTAACAATAAACAAAAATATTAAAAAAAATATTAATTTTTTTTTTTCTTAGAATTAATTAAGCAAAATAGGCAATCGGAGTGGCTAAAAAGTTAAATAAAATAAAAAGCAGTTGCCCATTTAAAAAAAAACAAATGTCATGTCAATGCAAGTTATCCGTTAACATTCAACATTTATTTATGGAAGATTTAGATAGATATCATTCCGAAGAATTTTTATTGGGTCAGGTAACCTGATATAGAGATACATCAGATAACCAATAAAAAAATGCCACATCCTCATTTTGTACCGAAAGAGTAAATTACCCCATGCCACTTCCAAATTAACTTTTTTTCCCGGTTGGTTGGTTTGTATTTCCTGGAATGCAAGTTATTCAACTCTGTAAAGGAGATTTAGGAACACAGGAGTCATGGGCTGATCCCCCCATGTACTTGGGGTGGGGAGGGGGGTTATATTTTGAGTATTTTGTCCATATCCTACCAAAAATTTTTTTTTTTCCAACCCTAAAAAAGGAAGCTGAATCCGCACCTGACATGACTTTATGGAAAGAGCTTTAAAGCTGAGGCCGCCCCTCTTTGATGTCTGGGACTTGCAAGGTAATATTTTTTTTCCAACAAAATAACATTATATTGATATAAAGGGAATACACCATATAAAGATCAAAAGCCAACAACCAAAAATAAAAGAAAATACAAAATGAGATCGAAGTGATCGAGGAGAGGGCTTAATAAACGGCCAAGGCTCCCAGCATCCATGAAGGCATGCACGGACCATCCAATATGGTGAAGAAAGCGCTCCAATCGATCCATCCAAGTAAGAAAACATCACCAAAGGTTGCCACCAGCATGACGACGAGGATACGAGCCCCAACCACATCATAGCCTAAAAAACCAAGCCATAAAACACCCACAAAACGGCCAAATGTCCAGAAAACCAGCCAGAAAACACCAAAGGGATCAATCACATGAAAAAGGCACTATCTACCTCTCCTGCCCCTCCCACGTAACCTCCCGCGAGAGGCGACAAAGAGAACATGTCTATCTCGAACCAGTTTAAAATCAAGGCCAGGATCAGACCCACAACAATAATCCGAAGAGGAATCAGACTCGGATTCCAATTCAGACGTACAATGCAACCAATCAAGATGAGTCCTAACATCCATCCATGAATTATCACCCACATGATACACCAATGCTTGGTTGTCGATCAAATTCACAGGGACATCAACAAAAGAGCTAGAAGTGACTAATAATCCATTCCCAGCATTAGCACCACCTCCAACCATATTAATACTACCAATTTTTTAAGGAGACTCCATAACAGCAATAGAAGCAGGATAAATAACACCTACGCATTCCTCATTAAGACAATCCCGAGACTCCAGAGCAGCAGGCACTACCCCAGCAACCACAACCTCAGAAGCAACTAAATGAGAACCAGAATTAATACCCTCATCAATAAGAGGATTAGAAATGACATCCACCTCACCACCCGAAACCAAATAAACTAACTGAATATCATCACATATATCACTCCGAGCATCCACAGAGGCAATAACAAAATTCCGAATGCCAAGAGCAGCAGGCGGCAACCCAACCAGAACACCCTCCAAAACAACCTCAGTTCCTAAACTATTAGCTATAGGAGAACCATCAATTGCATTCACAACTTTCACACAATTATCCATGGTTTCAGCATTTTCTAAAGGAGTTGCCCCAAAGATAATAAAATAGGGGAAACAACCGGAACAGTCGCATGGGGAGGTCGACAATTTCTCGAAACATGACCAATACATTTGCATGAAGCACAAAATGGGGGAAAAAGTCAAAGGCAACTTCCTGAAGATATCCTAAATTCTCAGAGCCAAGCCACACCCGGTTTGGGTAAGATTTAGTAATGTCAAGCTCCACAAGAACACGCGCCACGGAGGGGAGGGGAACCCACGGAGGTAGCCTCATCAATTTTCAAAGGTTTACCAAAAATTGTCCCCATAGCATGAAAAATGAGAGGGTTAAAGAGATGAGGACGCAAAAGCGGAAAAGAAATCCACACCGGGATGACAGGCGACTCAACTCCAACATCTAAACTAGGCAACCATTTCGTGAGCTTCATATAGCAGTTGAAAACTAAGTATGAATGGTGACATAATACCTTACAGTAATCCAAGTCATTCGCAAATTTAATCATAATGTGTGTAGTATCAAGCAAGGTAACCGAAAAACCCCCCTAAGTTTGAGGTTAAAGAAAAACTTACGGATAGAGTCAAGAGAGGGTCGTTTTGTAGGGAAGAAGCCAACTAAGGAAAATTGAAAAGGGGTAGCCATAGCATTGATTTCCTGATCATAAATACATAAGGAAGGAAAGCCCCGAAAAGTAGAGCTGCGCAGATCCGAAAAAGAAGACACCGATTTGGACCCAGCTAATGCCTCGAAAAACGAGCGCAAATGAGACGAACCACATAAAAAACCAGGGTCGCTCAGACGAATAGGTGCCATACCAGCGAACGCCTGAAAAGTAGAGGAAAAATATAAAAAACAAAGCACCAGGAAAGCCAAATAAAATAAAAAACAAAGCACCAGGGAAGACCCCAGCGCAACGGGGAGCCTCGGCCGACAGAGACGAAACCCAAAACCCTAGCAGAGCCAAGAAAACCCAAAATTTATTTAGCCTTTTTCATAATCCTTGACCAGCTCCTTATCATGTTCTAGGCTGCAGATTCACTCACAATTAACAACACTTGCAAGGTAATACTTGTTTGACTTATTTAATTGATTTCTACCTGTATGTGTAGCTTGCTTTAGAGTAATGAAGCTTTGAGTATTGTTGCGTCCAGGAGTATTCGCAACGGTAGAGAAATATAAAGTTTATCATCTTAGCATTGTACGAAAATCCGGCACGCAATCAGATAAGAGAGAGGGTCTAGCATTTATGAGACACCAAGATTTTTACGTGGAAAACTCCTAAAAAGGGGGAAAAACCACGGGGCCTAGCCCAGTTTGAATGAATCCACTAATATTGTAGTCGATTACAAATGAGGCCCTTCCTTGGGAGAAGGCCTTAGCTTGATGTACATTTTATAGAGTACATTACATGATATGAATACAAAGAATCACTATTGACATGTTCGTTTGGTCGAGAGGACCGTAGTCGGCGGACGACGGAGGTCGGAAGGCTTGTAGTCGATGGGTGACGTAAGTCAGGATGATCGTAGTCGGCGGGCGACAGAGGTCGGTAAGATTGTTGTCGACGGGCGACATAAGTCAGGAGGACCGTAGTCGGCTGGCGATTGAGGTCGAAAGGACTGTAGTCGGCGGGCGACGTAAGTCAGGAGAACCGTAGTCGGCGCGCGATAGAGGTCGGAAAGATTGTAGTTGACGAGCGACTAAGTCAGGAGGACCATAGTCAGCGGGCGACGGAGGTCGGAAAGATTGTAATCTGACAACGAAGATCAGAAGGACAGCGTCAGGTAGAAGTCCAACAATTGAAAGAAATCCATCTTCGCGTAGACGTCCAGCAAAGTCCGATATTTCAGTAGAAGTCCGGCGTCAGGTAGAAACTTGGCGGAGAGTGAAGGTCTGACGTCGAGTAGAAGTCCGACGTCTGTTGGTGGCAGAGGAGAACTCCGGCTTCACTTGAGCGGAGTTTCGTTGTTATGAGGGAACTCTGTTGCAAATTGGGAAGAATTTCAACATCACGTGGAAGTTGGGCAGAATTCCTGCGTTCTCCCAAATATCACGCAGAATCCCGACGTGTTCGGGCAGCAGGACGAACTCCGGCGGTGGTCGAGGAGGAGAGGATTCTCCTTTTCCCCTTTATGTTCTTCTTCCCTTATTCTTCTCTCTCTTCACTTGAGTCTCTTTGTGTAGAATGAGGGCTCTATTTATAGTTTTTCTGGAGTGGCATAGCCCGTAAATAGGCGTGAGATCAGGGGCGAATTAGGAGTGGTTTGAATGGACGGCTGATATCGAATCCTTTGATCATGCACCGTTCGTTGGACATTTGGAGGCCTTAATGATGTCAGAATTAGGTGATCTTGGGCTCGTTGGATTCGTCTCGTCGAGCCGCTTGATTCGAGTATAAGCTCATTAAAATCGAAGACCGTTTGGTAACTCAAATTGCGGTTTGAACCTTCCAACAGCGCTTCGAGTCCTTGATTCAGACTCATTTGAGCTCGGATT